CCTTCCAAAAGAAAACATGCATGATCAGGACGGGGATGAGTTTAATCTTCCCCAAACAATTCCTCTACCTTCTGACATGGCTTTCATTTCTGTTTCAGTTAACCATAGTTTATTGTTATAGCTGCGCCCTAAAATGTGATCAATCTTGATGAGAGTTGTTGCAGCAAGTCATAAACCATAGTTAAAATTCATTACAGTTAATGCAGAGCTCCTATTCAAAGCTCCATAGATAAGGCACAATTTATGTAAATTCCACATGCTACATTGGGCCTCTCTGCACTTTCATCAAAAACTTATTTATTTATTTTAAGTATGCCATCTTTACAATTTAAAGACTGTTCAGACTTGTCTTACAAAGTACACAATATCCACAAAATCGGGGCAAAAAGAAAGCTTAATGAAGGCTGCCCAAATGAATAAACTTCACACACTGTCAATTTTATGTTGCCAAGGATTTCTTCAAATTAAATCCCATTGCTTCTGTACAGGTTTTTTTTTAGACCTTATTGAATTGCAAATAACAACATAAGCTCTGTTTTTGCTTGTGGAAATAAGCAAACTACCTTCCTCTTTGATTCATTAATGATGAAGCTGGGATATGTATGAAAGCAAAGAATTTAAGCTTCCTGTCCGATCCAGGTTACAACCCAGGTTTTTTGCCACAATCCTGATCTGTCTCTCAAAAGCTGTGTTGTGGACTCGCAGTTCAGGATATAGATTGCTCCCAATATAAATGCATCTTTTTCATAGCCAACGCTTTCCTGACGCAGGCAGATAATTCCTAGAAGCAACATGATTTTTTTTTATTTTATTTTTTTTAAATGCTATTCTCATCTGGGGCCTGTTGTATAAGATAGATAACCCATTTTTCACACATAATGAGACAGAAAATTACATTCCAGCTCCAGCCTAATTGTCTTTGTAGCATATGCATAGAGACATTTATGCCTCTTTTAAATGCAAATTTCCTCTAGATCTCTTTAAGTGATGCAAACAGAAGGGAAGTTCAGAGGCAAGTAGGGGGATCCATCCCAATTTAAGCATTTGCCCTAGACTGAGTTGGTGTATGGATTCAGATAGTTCAGTACTACCTCTGTTGAGTTGCAGCAATCACGCAGAATAATATTATGTGAAGCTCAGCCTATGGCTTCATATCCTGGCTTGTTCCGTGCTATTAGTAATTTTCCATACTTCTGAAAGTGGGAAAGTGATAAATTTGCATATTTGTTCAAAAGAGCTATGAATTTTTGAATGGTTTTTTTAAATGATTAGTCAAAAGTTGAGCATAGACAGGGAGAGAGTGTCAAATTATGTAGCACTCCACACATAAGGGGCCATGGGTGAAATCTCCCCCTATTTGTGAACTTCAATTGAAACCAGCCACAGAGAAAGGAGAAAACCTATAAAACAGTGTCTCTCACCCCCTCCCACCAAAGGTGATTTAAAAGGATACCTTGGTTCAGTACCATGGTATTGAAAACCAATGAGTGGTCAAGGAGCAATAGGATGGAGTTACCACTCTCATCCTAGCTCTGCCACAGGACATCAAGAAATCTGGATTTTCTTCCCAGCCTCCCTCCAACTCCCCAACTTTTGCCAATTTCTCTTACAGTATCACATTTGATCCTGTTCTGTTCAGTTTGGCAAGAATTATACTGCCAAGGGATGAACAGACGTCTGAGCTTTCCTTTGTATAATTTCTTTCAAACTTGCTATTGAACTGGAAAGGATCAAAAGAGTAACTTCTCCATACTCTCTATTTGTCTGTCTTCATTTCCACCAAGTGAGGAAGTGGAATGGCATTGGAAGAAATAGCTTTATTTCATTACCAAAGCCAAATTAGCTAACGACCGCCTAACAAACCCTACTCTCTTCTAGCACTGAGGATGTGACGTAGTTTTGGTAATGAAATGTCTGCAAGGAAACAGACAAGCTCAGAGAGCACCAAGGACTATTCAATACAACTCTGAGCTCCAAATATTCCCTTCCATCTGTGCCAATTTCTTGATTTACATCATAATGTCTTCTGTGAAGCAGATGTAATATAGAAATAGTGTGGTGTGTGATTAATGACACTTATCATTAATAGTACTGTAATTCTGTTATTTCGGTTTGGTTCAGTAGAGTGTATGAATATCAGTGGGAGTGGATAAATAGACCTGGAATGCAATATAATAAGCATCAGCATTTTGATTAATTTGCCCTGAATAGTGGAAAACCTTTAAAAGGGGGAGAAAAGGCTTTCTAGCCCTGGAATGACATATTTATTATCTGCAAGCTGATCTGTTCAATTACCGCAAACTTATCTCTCTTCCTCCTAAAACAATATTAGGCTAAGTCCTTGGGGCCTGTTGCCTGCAAAATATTGCTAACAAGGAAGTTATGAAGCAACTGTTGTGCTGTTACTGAGAAAAAAAGCCTCTGCCAGATGTAGGAAAAACAACCTCTCTTGTAACTCTTCCCACCAATAATAACCCACCCTCTTTCAAGCATGCCGAGCATACTATAGACTCCTTTTCAACATAAAGGAAATGCCAAGAAAAATGATATAAGGAATCAAGGTGTGCTTCTTTTCACCAGAGCATGCCGGGCTAAGAGCCAGGAATTTGTGTGGATTTCTAAGGGCTAAAGTGGATCACTTTAGAACATTCACGAGGTAATACAGGCTTCCTGCTGTATTTAGTTTTGGAAAGTTTGCACACATATTTTGTAGTAAATTTCTTAGGTGTGTGTGGTGGAGAGAGGGTGGTTTTTTTGTGTACGCATGACTGATTGCATCTTTGTGGATTGTTTTCTTCCTTAGTGAGCAATTAGGAAAAATCTGTCTTTCATGCCATTGTTATACAGGTAGTACAGCGGTTTGTTTAATAACTATTTAAAGTTATGACGACGCTGAAAAAAGTGACTTACAACTGATCCTCACACTTACAACCATTGCAGTGGGGTCTAGGACAACTCGCCCTGGCCAACTCGCCCCAGCTAACTTGCCGTGGGACAATTCAAGGCAGAATAACTCAAGAGAGACAGACAAATGAATTGCAGTGGGCCTTGTCTTGCTTTAGGTTCAAATTAGAAGTCCTCAAGGCTTAGAATAACAAAATAACAGAGTGGGAAGGGACTTTAGGGGTCTTCTAGTCCCACCCCCTGCTCAGGCAGGAAACCTTATACCATTTCAGACAGATGATTGTCCAATCTCTTCTTAAAAACTTCCAGTGTTGGAGCATTCACAACTTCTGGAGGCCAGTTGTTCCATTGATTAATTGTTCTAACTGTCAGGGTGAGCTGCAGTTCTACTTGCCCCTCTCTTGAGTTATTCTGTGTTGAATTGTTCTGCGGCAAGTTGTCCCGTAGCGAGTTGGCATGGCAAGTTGTCCTGCTGCAAGTTATTTAGAATAGAATAGAGCTGGAAGGGACCTTGGAGGTCTTCTAGTCCAGCCCCCTGCTCAAGCAGGAGAACCTATACCATCTCAGACAAGGGACTATCTAGCCTCTTCTTAAAAACCTCCAGTGATGGAGCGCCCACGATTTCTGGGGGCAAGCTGTTCCACTGGTTAATTGTCCTCACTGTCAGGAAGTTTCTCCTTAATTCCAGGTTGCTTCTCTCTTTGATCAGCTTCCAACCATTGTTTCTTGTCCTGCCCTTTGGTGCTTTGGTGAATAACGTGTCCCCCCTCTTCTTTGTGGCAGCCCCTCAAATACTGAAATACTGCTATCATGTCTCCCCTATTTCTTCTTTTCTTTAGACTAGCCAAACCCAAGTCCTGCAGCCGTTCTTCATACATTTTAGTCTCCAGGCCTTTGACCATCTTAGTTGCTCTTCTCTTAATTTTTTCCAAACTCTCAACAACCTTTTTGTGAGGTGACCAAAACTGGCTGCAGTATTCCAGGTATGGTCTTACTAGGGTTTATAAAGTGGTACTAATACCTTGTGTGATCTTGATTCTATGCCTCTGTTTATACAACCCAGGATTGTATTAGCTTTTTTGGCTGCTGCTGCACACTGCTGGCTCATGGTTAAGTGATCGTCCACTAGGACTCCAAGGTCCCTCTGTTGGCTGGGGCGAATCAGCCAGGGCGAGTTGTCCTATTTCAATTGCAGTGTCCCTGTGGTCACATAATCAAAATTTGGCAGTTTGGTAACTGGCAAGTATTTATGATGGTTGCAGTGTCCTGGAGTCATGTGATTACCATTTGTGACGTTCCTAGAAGGCTTTTGAGAAGGAAAGTCAATGGGGAAAATTAGATTTGTTTAATGACGATGTGGTTCATTTAATGACCATAGCAAAAAGATCATAAAATTGGGTGCAACTCATTTAATGACTCCATCACTTACTGACAGAAGTGCCAGTCCCAGTTGTGGTTGTATGTCAAGGACTACGTGCATATTTGTGAGTAAAGAGTGCTGTTTAAAATAGAAAAAACTACCGTTCAAAGAAGGAGCTGAGCTGTATTATGCCTGACTGTGGTAGGTCTCTTCTGGCTCCAGGCCCAGCTAGTATCAATCACTTTTGAATGAAGATAGCAGACAGACAGAAAAAAGGAAATACTAACTTTGTGAATTGGAAAGCTCCCCTATCAAATACTGTAATACTTTCTCTGGAATTCCCTGGGTGGCTATAAACCAAAGACGCACAACTTTTGACCTAAAACATTAGCTAAGGCCCTCAGAGAAAACAAGCTGCTGCTGTTTCGTAATTTTTTTTAGGTGGCAGACATTGAGCAGATGTCATCAGATTTATTGGCTTTAATGGCGCTTCCTCATTGTGCCAACACATGGCTTTCCTTCGCTGACAAGGGAAGTAAACTTTCTGCATCTTCATGACTTTTCTTGTTGCAAAAGCTAGCTCTCAACTAGGAGAACATAGAAGCAGTTAGACCCCAAGGTGCTTTTTCAATGGGCAACTGGATTTTCTTTGTTTTTTTCCTTGAAGACGTTTTGCTTCTCATCCAAGAAGCTTCTTTGGTTCTGAGAACTGGATGACTGAGAATCTCCTCCATAGATAGATGCCGTTAGGAGGATTTCCCACCAACCCATTCCCAGTAACACTGCAGGGACTCTCTTCAATTTCTCCTCCCAGAGGGAAGGCTGTCGGATATGGAAGATGACCATGATGAAGGGAACCGACGGGTTGGGAATCCAGATCACTGGAGGCCGTGGATCCAAGCGCTCCCCACACGCCATCATAATTGCCCGGGTGGAAGAAGGTGGATCGGCTCACAGGTAGCATTTGTTGTGTGGTCTTTTAATGAAAGTCTGTCTGTCCACAAACTTTTAATTAGATACACCTCAGGATCAAAAGCTCAAGGACAACAAAACCAGATAACATGTGTACGTTATTTGATTTGCACCTGCTTGTTGGTTGTGATTGGTTTTCAAAGTAACTTTCAGTATTAAAATCCAACATATAACAACAGTGATCAATAAATAAACTGGGAGACTTTGAGTTCTAGTCTGGCCTTGGGTATCAAAGCCAGTTGGAAGGCCAGCTATTTTCTCTTAATCCTAGGAAGGAGGCAATGGCCAGCCACTTCCAAAATCTTGCTGAGAAAAACTGCATGGATGGATGTAAGGAAGGAAGGGGTGATCTATTATTATCATTTTATTATCATTATATTTTACTGATGAGAAAGTCTCCTCCCCCTTCTTGCCAGAAAAGCTTGGCAATCCTGGTTACTATGTACCTGATTTGATTGTGGTGAAGGGACTCATTTGCACAACCTTCTGGATTTATTGTAGTTGCATTTGTTTTTGTTTTTGCATTCCCACAAGAACTCCTTGCTAAAAACATTTCCCAAACTTTTCCTCTCAGAAATATTTTTTTCTAAGGTGTCCCAGTAACCCTGAGTAGCTTACTGGTAGAAATAAGCATGCTTGTTCTTGTTGTTATAATCCTCAGAGAAACAGGTCTCTGCATCTAGAGATTTAGCAAGAATACTAAATATAAAACTTGAAAAATAAGGAAGTTAAATTATGAACTTGCTTTGTTCTGAAAACAAAAGCTGCTGAGGGATAACTCCTTTTGATGGGGTGTCCTCCTGCCTGTGGCAGATTTGAGGTAAATAATGCTTCTCTCCCCTCTTGGGTTCTTGAATCCTCTGTAGATTGTTTTACTAGTAATAAATTTAAAGGTAGAGAAAATGGAACAGTTTTGAACAGGCTGCTTCTGGAAAGTTTAAGACTTCAAATATATTAAAAGAACAACGCTAACTGGAACATACAAGCAATCCTCGACTTACAATCTCAATTGAGCCCAACATTTCCGATGCTAAGTAAGACATTTTTAAAGTAAATTTTGCCCCATTTTATGATATTTCTTACGACAGTTCTTAAGTGAATCAGTACAATTGTTAACAACATGTTTGTTAAGTGAATCTGGCTTCTCATTGAATTTGCTTGTCAGAAGATTTACATGGGCCCGGGATCCTGCAACCGTCCTAAGTACACGCCAGTTGCCAAGGGTCCAAATTTTGATCATGTGACCATGGGGATGCGGGCAGTGCTTGTAAGTGTAAAAAATGGTCATCGGTCATTTTTTTCTAGTGCCATTATAACTTCAAATGGTCACTAAACAAATGGTTGTAAGTTGAGGACTACCTGTATTCAATTTTTAACCTGCCACAGATAATTGTACATATTTGTTTTTAAATCTAAGTACTCTTGAACATGGGTGCAACCAAGGTATCTGCAGGGTAACTGGATCTTTTTATTTCTCAGCAGAATTATTTTGATCAGAGGAATGAAAAAAAAAGCTATTTTGGAGATCTATCAGCTGAATTAAGGATAGAGGCAACTTATTTAATAGAAAAAATTTTCTGTTGTGATTGCAGGACTTGGATATCTCACTGGTATTTTTCAGCAACTAAGTCAGCCTGCCTTCACCAATTTCCTATCCTCCCATTGCATTAGACTGTAGTTCACATAGTTCCAAGCCAGGTTGGGAAAGGCAGCAGTAGGCACCTAGTCCAGGACCATCTGCAAATTCTACAGCCAATCTACTACTACAATTACAATTACTAAGTGTTTCCTTCTTCAACTCAATTTGTCTTGGGGCAATAGAACTCCACTCCCAGCATTAGAAACCAGCCTTCTGCTTCTTTCTGGAGAATGGAAGAATTTGTAAGATTAAAAAAAAAAAAGAAAGCCAATCTTTTTTAGCATGATTTATTGCATGTAACCTGCCTGGCCTGTGATAAAACTTTCATTAGTACTGGAAAAGGAATATAGATCACCAGGGAGTATTTTATGTGTTATCTGTATGAGCACCAGTAGGTCTAATATAAGGTGGATAGTTATAGAGGGGTTATGAAGAGTTTTCCAGGCTAACTTAATATGACCTAACTTAGATTTCAAGGTCATTAACATGGCTCTGCATCCAAGCCCAAAACCATGCAAGAAAGAAAGAAAGAGAAAATGCTGAAATTTTACAATGTTGTAGCTTTTGGGAGTTGCAGAATGCCCAGGTCCAGGAAAAATATCTTGGCATTGGCCAACCTAGGTGCAGCCGATCAAAGTATTGAAGCTACAGTCCAAATTGGGTGGGGTGCAATCTGACTTTCAGTACTAAACCTTAAAGGCAAATTCTTAAAAGAAAAGTGATACGTGAGAATTTTTGTATTTGAGAATTCTCTTGGGAAGAAGTTTGTGTTTGTTTGGTTGCTTTTGTCTCTGACTTTAGTTTCTGGCAGTGAATTGTGGGATTTCCTTTCCCAAATGAGAAATTAGATCAAATTCCCAGCCTAGGAGCCTTAGCATGGACGTTTCCACTGACTCAAAATAATATTTTTTTTTAAAGGGATGTGACCATTAAGAATAGCATCTCAACACATAACGCTGGGAAGGATAGGAAAGAGTGCTAGGACCAGAATGTGTCCATGCAGAGTTAATTACTCCAGAACACATGAGCAAAAATTCAGTGGTAGAGCTGACCTACTTACTAGTGATGCTGTTTGAGTTTATAAAGCACTCCGAGACTCTCCAGGGAAAATGTTAAGTAAACATGGAGCTGAATACAGTATTCATTATTAACAAAATGCAGACACAGCCTCTGATGTTCACCTTGAAATTTCCCTCTGAAGAGGATAGGATGGAGTCATGTTTTCCAGATCAAGCATGGCCTCTTATTTGTCCATTTCTTAATCTTGGGAGGGAGGTAAACATGTACTAAGAAATATTTTAGCTACAACCATCCAGCTTTGTCTTTGAGTTTTCCAGCTTGTCATGTCCACTTTTAAGGCTGAAGAAGCTGAGCAGATGAGGCAGGTTTGGAGGATGGCATAAACCCTGTTTTGTTCTTTGGTTTTCTTAGGGATGGCAGGCTGAAGGTGGGTGATGAGCTTCTAATGATCAATGGCCAGTCTTTGGTTGGTCTGTCCCATCAAGATGCTGTCGTTCTACTTCGGTCAGCTGAAGGCCTTGTGTATTTAGTAGTGGCAAGCAGGGTAAGTCATTTTGCGTATATGATTTCATATGTTGAAGCAAGCATAGAAGATTACAAGGTTCTTTTTTATAAGATGTCATCATCACCCTTATTGTTGAAAATGCAAAACTGACTAAGGAAGAATGAATGAATGGACATCAGCTTTATGAATCTGCCTTATGAGAGGATTTGTTCAATTGGAAAACTTCTTTTTCTATCAAGAGCCATTAAAACCATGCAGAGAATCAACTGGGGATTGGAATTGACAGCAAGTGGAATAAAACCACTTTTTAAAATAAGGATGTTATACTGTGGAGTAAAATGGATGCTTTAAAACCTTGCAGATGTTTAAAGCATCCATTTTATCTCTTAGAATTTCTGAAACTTTCTTTCAGAAGAAAGTGCTGGCTTTTTTGCTGTCAATTCATTTTCAACATGGCATAGAAAGCCTGGTTCAATCTTTATCCAGGCAGAAGCTCCATTTCCCTGTTCAGTAGGCATCTAATTAACCACATCATACCATATGTAAGATTGAATGAATCCTACTGTGAGTCTTGGAGATGGTGCTTACTGTGTTATGATGAGATAGCTCAGGGATTGGGAAATCAGACAGATATGGTTGACCTTTCTTATCAGCTTGGCTAGTTGTCAGGAGTGATGGTAACTGTAATCCAACAACAATCAGAAGGTCAAAGATTCCCAATCCTTTGGATAGACAACAAAAATAACTTCAGTTGCTCAAGTACATCTTCAGAACTGATGTGTGTATTGCAAGTCAGTGGTCTCCAATCTTGGCAACTTTAAGACTTGTGGACTTCAACTCCCAGAATTCCTCAGCCAGCTATGTCTTAAAATTTTCAAGGTTGGAGACCCTGCTATGGGTGACTCTGTATAAATTTAAATTCTAGTCCTATAATTGAACAATTATCCAACTGCATTCACGTTTAGTGGAGCAAATCTCAAGGTGTGCAAACTTAAAGTGACTTCAGTAACAGTTGGAGTTATTAACTATCCAACATATTTGGCAACACTTTGCTTTTTTTTCTCATTTAAAATCTTGGAGGAAGTAGCCCTGCCAAAATATATTTTATGTGAACTAAAAGCATACATTTCTTTTATTATTGCAACTGGGGTGGATAACAGTGTGTGTTTTATCAGTTATATGTCAGTTATGCAATAAAAGCACAAAGCTAACTAAACAAATGAAAAGCAGTGTGGCATCCATTTTTGCAAGCGAAACCAAAGAGAATTTTGCCCAAACATGTTTGGTTCTTGATCTCCCATCGCTTGGAGAATCAACAGAATTGTTCGCAAAATTACTTTTTCATCACTGTTGCGACTGCAAACAGTCATTAAACAATGACTTCCTGTATGTTTGAATGAGGTCATTCATTCTTTAATGTGTCCAATGATCTCCTCAGGTGCATCTAAGATGGAAATTAACTTTTAAAAAATATATATATATCCTTGTTTCCAGCATTACCAGCCAAGGGGATTCTTGACAACTGTTCATCATCTACAGTGTGAAACTAATGCAGACTTACTTTATATGGTTGTTGGGCCAATTAAATGAATATATTCATATATGTAATGGCAAGTATCGTTCTTTCCTTCTTGTAGGAAGGAGCAGAAGAAGATGTTCTTCATTATCCATCTACAAGTTTGCCAGACCTAATTAGCACTTGTTCTGCTCAGGATACGGCCCCCTGGATTGACAATAAGGAGAATGAAGCACCGGAAGAGGAGGATGGAAAAGCCCCAGAGTCAGAAGTCCTGGAATCTGTAAGTATGATGTCTATGGAGATTCTTAGCCATCTAGATCATGGTTGTCCCAAAGATGCTTTTTCCAAAAGGCAAGTGGACGTTCTTGGCTTTTTCCTTAAAAACCTTTCATTTCTCATTCAAGAACTGAAGAAGCATATGAAAAAAACCAAGAAAGTCCACTTGCCTTTTGGGAAAAGCATCTTTGGGACTGTTAAGTATAACCTTTCACAGGAAACCATATTGAGATATATCCTGCCCAACTCAGCATTAAAAATCTTACTTGGGCTGATCTCAAAAATCAAGAAGTTGGAAAAGGTTAGTACTTGGCTATCAGTAAAAGCCAGGGTACTAGGCTAAACTGGGAAGCTGGAAAATGTTCTGGAAGAAGGCAATGATAAATCATTTTTTTAATGTTGTCAACAAAGCTACATAGATGACATCACAAGGAGGAATCAGTGTCTATTGAAAAGATGCTTTTCTTTACAAGTCAATTCCACTCAAATTCTTCTTTTTTTTAAAGAACAGGCAACTTTTATTTATGTACATATATGATGTTCTTGAAGGTATGCACTTTGTCTGCATATATGGAGCCTTGTATCACAACATTGAGATAAATTTGCATGTAAATTTAGAAATGTGAATGATGTTAGCTTGCTTAAAATTGCAAATCAAATGACATTTACCACTTCCCTGGAATACTATCTGAACAAATATCGATTAACAAATTGGTCATCTCTTTTAGCAATTGCAGCTGCTTTAGAGGTATGTCAGAGAATCATGTTTTGCTTTCTTTAGTAAGACTATCATTAAAATTTACTAAAAAAATAATTCAGACATAATGTTTTTTGCTAAATAAACCATGATGACTTACTGGATCAAGACTGATCATGCTCTTGTTTTTTTTATGAAGCTTAATGAAAAATAATCAGCATCAATCACAGTTCTCCCTCACAAAAGAAACTGGTTTAATTTGGCCAGGAGAGGAAGGGAGCAGATAAACATAATTCCATTTCAGTTTATTCTTAGACCAACACTTATTGGCTTGCGATGATTGGACTTCAATGTGCCACTGTGGATTACTTTCCTATTTAATATTTCATTTTAGTCAAACTCCCAATGAACTGCTTATGACCTTTGTAGAACATATTGTACTATGTATAAATAAGTCATATTATTTCTGAGCTTCTTCTTACTGCATTATTTGTGCAATATATTGATTCTGGATCTGTTATTGATGACTGTTTTAGTGATTTATTTATCAATTACCATCTGGAGCTTTTCAGTTTGAGGTAAATATGATAGAAATCCCTGCTCCAAAGAATTAAACTGGACCTAGGAAGATATGGAAGCTCCCACTTGATCAGTTTGGAAACCTGTTTGATCCAATATCTTCTTTCCTATAATATGTAATTGCTTGTGCCTATTTCAAATTACAAGCAAGAGACTATGGGCAGAAACGTAAAAGGGAGCAGGATATCTTTGTGTAATTGAAGGGGTTAGAACTGGAGGATAAAAAATATCTAACTATGGAAGAATAAATTAAGATAAGGAATCTAGCTTTACTTATATTAACCATATTGTCCATCTATTTGTAGTATTAAACCTGCTTGGAAAAAGATCAGAAGTGCTTGGGTACTTGCACAATTATCTTTCTGCTACGCATTAAAAAAAAACCCATATCTTTTTTTAGGCTTCTTTAAGAATCACTTTAAAAACACAGATGGCATCTTAAAGGAGCTGCATCTTTTTCAGATTTGTACAGAGCAAAAGAGGTAGCTGTTTTAATGAGGAATAGAGAGTTGCTTTCTTTGCAAAGTGTCAAAACTTATTTTCTTAATAGTTTTTTCAGAGTACAAAGTGCTGTTTCTGGTGCAGAATATAGAAAGGTTAGGATGTGTTAGATTTGGGAGAGATCAGGTGACGAGTATAAGAGTTTGAAGATACGGTAGGAGACAGGTGGTTAGAAAAATAAGGTGAGTAATAAATGTACTAGGTAGCAAGGACATTCCATAACCAAATAGAACAAAAAGCTCAAGAAAGTGTCAGCAGCTGTTAGGCTATTAAACCTTGATCAGCTATTGCGGTATTGGCAATGTTGAGATAGGGGATTAGTGGTTTCACTCTGTAAGACAACTTCCTTCACATTTTGTGTAGAAATGAGACTGCCCAGGGAGAAAAATCAATCCACAGGGGTTTACAGGCATCAGTGCAGAGAATAAGGTATGATTGCACAATAGAGCAAGCCCATATTTGAAAGCACAAATTAGATCTAGCTGTCTAATTGAATCAGAATCTGAAAGGCAAGTCTATAATTACAATAAAATATTAAAGTCCAAGCATCAAAGTTTTATAATTGAGTAACTGAATAGATTTATGCCCAGCTACAGGGTAGAACCTCCCTATTCTTGGCCACTTCCAGAAAATAGGTCAGCGGCCAAGACCTTATGATGCAATAGATTGACTTGTGCACACACAGAATCACATGGCAGCAAGATGAGCAGCATATGAATTAAATAAATACCTAAATAAATAAAGACATGCTAAGACAATAGTTGTATTTGAAGTACTTGCTTAACACATCCAGCTGCATTTAAACAACCCTGGGAAGGGTTAAGATCAGTTAGCCTTTTTTGTAGCTGAGTCAGTTAGAACTGAATAGAAGAGTTAAGGATTGATAAAAGAATTCCCTATGACCACCAAGAAAACTTGAAAGATGTATTTGTGAACTCACCATTAGCTGAACCTGATACAAATGACTTTTTCCCTTCTTTATGTCTTCTCTTTAGTTCAGAAACCAGTGGTAATCTTCACTTAATGATCCTAGCTGGGGCCAGCAACTCCATTGCTAAGCGATGTGGATTTTAAATGAAACTTCATGTAATTGGTCAGCTTAGCATTTCCAGCAATTCAAATTGCTGTCATTGAGTGGATTCCACATGGTCATTAGGTGAGGACCCATCTGGATCCAAGCCAATCATGGAAGAGAAAGTAAGGGACTGCCTTCACTTCAACTACTTCATCCACCTATGTCGCCTTTTCTTTGTCCTTTTGGCTGCCTGCCTACCTGCTGCCATTAACTGCAACCACCACGCAGCCCTGGCCACCCTCTGGGGCCTGCCCTATCTTGGGCCACTAGTATATAAGCTGGGTCTTTCTGTTGTAAAAGGAGCCCAGGTTCCCCTAGATCAGTGATGGCGAACCTTTTAGAGACCGAGTGCCCAAACTGCAACCCAAAACCCACTTATGTATCGCCGGGTGCCGGGTGGGTGTGGCCCACTTGGGTGCAGTTACAGTGGGCATGGCAGACTGGGTGGGCGTGGTCACTGGATGGGTGTGGCTGCAGTAGTCATGGCAGACTGGGTAGGCATGGCCGGGGGAGCGTGGCCACATCGATGTTGCTTATGGAGAGGGACACCTGTGGGAGCCGGGCAGGGCAGGGTTGGGGGAGATCCAGGGGGTCTCTGGCAGCTGGGATGTTGGGTTCCCCAATGGCGGCTCCAGGCTGGCTGGCCTTAGGCCAGTGATGGCGAACTTTTAGAGACCACGTGTGCTGGGGTGATGGTACGTGCCCACAGAGAGGGCTCCGCGTGCCGCCTCTGGCACGCATGCCATAGGTTCACCACCACTGCCCTAGATCAGCAACCTCTTTTTTTTCTTTCAGTAGAACACAAGACATATCTAAGGAGGTTCTCAGTCATCCAGGTCATGATTATCCCAAAGGTGTTTTTTTGAAAGGTGATTAGACTTTCTTGTTTTCCCTTGAAGACATTTTGCTTCTCATCCCAAAAGCTTCTTCAGTTCTGACTGAATGGTGGAGAATGGAAGGATGCAAGGATTTATATTCCTTGCAGTCCAAGGATTTATATTCTTTGCAGTCCTCTGGTTGTTAGCACTCTTTGTGAGAAAGAAAATAAAAAGTGCTAATGACCAGATGACTGCAAGGAATATACATCCTTCCATTCTCCACCATTCAGTCAGAACTGAAGAAGCTTCTTGGCTGAAAAATGAAATGTCTGCAAGGAAAAACAAGAAAGTCCAGTTGCCTTTTGAAAAATCACCTTTGGGAGTAACACAAAACATGGCAATATTGAATCCAGATTTTCCCCAGTTTTTATTTCAGAAGTCTGATTTAAATAACTAAGACATGTTGCCAATTTACTGTAGATTATTCATAATGCTATTTCCATCATTAGGCAACAAATTTTGGGTGGCTTTAAAAATCAATAAATCTTAACTTATTCATGAAATGTGTACTATATTTTTAAGTTGCTTGTGGGATTTTCTTACTTGGCACTTCTGGACTAGCCTGGCCCCGTGCCTTAAGGATTTCTTACCTTCCCAATGTGTTGGACTTCAGCTACTGTAACTCTTAATCAACATGGCCTTCAACCGTCCAGTTAATATAACTTTGCAAATATTAAGCGCATAAAGGCATAAGGGACTAATCATATGAATAATCAGTCTTGGGACTCTGATCTGCTTGTGGAAACCTCTGATCACAAAATGATAGTAGGAAAACCACATTTTCCTTCCATGTGGAGTTGTAAAAAATACAGTAAAATGCTGCTGCAGGTGTTGAAAATTCTAAGATATACATGTGTAATTTAACACTGTTTTAAAATAGCAACCATTCATTTATACAAAAGGTAAAGAATGTTGCTGTGTATTTTACATTCGGCAGAATTCAGTTGTATTATGTTAACTCTCCCCAGGCCCTTACTTTCACTGGACAGATTGGATTTTTCATAATTATTTCTAATTCTTTCTGACTGCCTACCTCCTTATATAGTTGCCACTGTAAAAATACGGTATGGAATTAATTATATGGAGTAATGCATAGTACAAACTTTTAGCACATAAGGTTGCTGTATTATAAACTTGCCCAATGGAAATTTTCTTGTGTAATGTACAGAAATTAGGTTCTTTATTAAATGCATCCAATTATATAGTGATCTCTCATAGTTTGCCATTTCGGAAGGGGAACATTAGGATGGGCTCAGCCAGGTTTTTCATTTAAG